GCCTAAGTCATGTGACTCAGTCTGTCTTTGATAAAAAATACAACACAACTATTTTTTCCATAAAAATCATTTTTGTTGGTTAATATTGATGGGCACATAAATCTCCAGTCATTTATAAGTCCAAGTCAATAGACATAATGCGTGCGCTGTGTCTAGTCTGTGGGCCTAAGTCATGTGACTCGGTCTGTCGTTGATAAAAAATACAACACAACTATTTTTGCCATAAAAATCATTTTTGTTGGTTAATATTGATGGGCACATAAATCTCCAGTCATTTATAAGTCCAAGTCAATAGACATAATACGTGAGCTGAGTCTAGTCCGTGGGCCTAAGTCATGTGACTCGGTCTGTCTTTGATAAAAAATACAACACTACTATTTTTTCCGTAAACATCACTTTTGTTGGTTAATATTGATGGGCACATAAATCTCCAGTCATTTATAAGTCCAAGTCAATAGACATACTGCGTGAGCTGAGTCTAGTCTGTGAGCCTAAGTCCTGTGACTAGGTCTGTCTTTGATAAAAAATACAACACAACTATTTTTGCCATAAAAATCATTTTTGTTAACTAATGTTAATGGGCACATTAATCTCGAGGCATTTATAAATCCGATTCAGTAGACACAGGAGAAGAAGAAGATTCATTGATAACAAATAATTCAACACGTTGCTATTGGCAATAAAAATCATTTGTGCTTACGAGTATTGATGAGCAGTTATGGCGTTTAATGGGTTTCGACGCTTTTCCCCCCTCANAATTTGAACCATTCTATTATTTATTCCTATAAAGAGAATAGTGAAAAAAGCAAGTATTTATGGAATTTTGTTCCGAACCCGCTAATTATCCATTCTTTACTTTCGAGCTTTTCCTAGCCAATTCAATTGATAAATTAGATGATTGAAAATCTTTGAATGAAAAGTGTTCCGACTTTCTTATTCCACGGAGAAAATTCAATATTCTTTGATTTTGTGGTATAAGTATTTATTTCAATTCATAAAGCCTCTAAAAACAAAAATCGGATAAAAAAATTGAAATCAAATTACTTATGAAAGTGGAATTCCTTTTGGTCTGAATCATTTAGAAAAACGTGAGATTCATTTTACTTCCGCATGAAAGCAATAAAATCGTTCCATTTTTACATTTCATAATTTTGGGCTTCCCAATGGAAGCATTGTATTTGTCGAATCCGAAAATGCCAACTTTTTTATCAGGATAACTACTTATGGGCTCAGGAGTTCGAATATGCAATTTTTAGACCATGTCCGGATGTATGTATGTATATGGGGTATTCCATGTGAACTCACCCAGGTCAAAACCCTCACCATCGCCAATCATATTGCCGATTTTTCCTGTGGTTGTATATGGAAAAATAGGACTTCTCAAATTTTTTCATATTTTTTGAGGCATCCTGTGGGCAGCCATGTTTTTTTTGCAAGTTTTGTCTTCAAATGCCTGTAACTTCCGTAAAAATCAATCGATTTGAGTTTTTTTTACAAAATGTACGCCTTCTAACACACTTTCCATATAAAAATATGATAATTTTTTTCAATTCGCTCTTCCATCGATTTCCTCAGAAAAACCTCAAAAAACTTCAAAAAACGAATCGTTTTCAAAGTTGGACCCTTTTTATATTTTTCAAACAATTTCAGTGAATATATTCGACCAAAATAAAATTTTTCACCAAAGGCCAAAGCGGATCTCTATTAGAACACACCACTCGGAAAGATTTATTGTTAACGAATTTTCAAAAAATTCATCAAATTGTTCCGGATTCGAATATAATGCAGTGATTCTTCAGGCGGTAAATTCAAATAATGCTTCTGCGTTCAAATACGAAAAGAATTTTGAAATTTTTGAAATTTTTCATCCCGGATTCATATATTCAAATTGGAAATGACGGCCACGAAATGGGAAGCCCACTTTGGCCTTTGGCGAAAAATATTGCTTTCGTCCAATATATTCATTGAAATTTTTTGAAAAATATAAAAAGGGTCCAACTTTGAAAACGACTCGTTTTTTGACGTTTTTTGAGGTTTTTCTGAGGAAATCGAATGGAAGAAGGAATTGAAAAAAATTGGCAGATTTTTAAATGGAAGGTGTGTTCGAAGACGTACATTTTGTAAAAAAAAACTCAAATCGGTTGATTTTTACGGAAGTTACAGGCATTTGAAGATAAAACTTGCAAAAAAACATGGCTGTCCACAGGATGCCTCAAAAAATCAGAAAAAATTTGAGAAGTCATATTTTCCCATATACAACCACAGGAAAAATCGGCAATATGATTGGCGATGGTGAGATACACATATATGCATGGAATACCCCATGTATATATGTGTATGTGTGTATACATGTGACCGATCGTTTTTCAAGAATAACTGAAAAAATAATTGTTTAAATGAATTTAATTATAATTTATAATATTCTTCTCAATGCCATCCTGACCAAGTTCGATCATGGAATTAATTGCACCATTAGTTGTTGAAGAAAATTATTTTGAAACCAATATTTTTGGTGCAATGTTGGCTGCCAACATTGAGAAAATGTCAATAAATTAAATGCAATAAATCATTGAATTTAATTTAAATTCCATCGTTATAGAAATTCCATGCGGAAGCCAATGGCTAATTTATGAGCCAACATATATTGACTATGTTGTGACGTGCGCTGCGCTCCACGAAATTGGCGTTTTTCAGGTCCCTCGACATGAAAATTAATATACACCCCTCGCCATGGAAAACATATCACCTTCCCCCACGTGCTTGCCATCCTCGCCTTCGGCTCGGATCTTGCACGTGGGGGACGGTGATCTTTTTTGCAAAGCTCGGTCATGTAATGTACTATTGTGTGCTGTATGTGTGGACCAGAGTAATATCCTACAATAGTTAGAATAATCAAGGCAATGTCTATTCACACGGTCCACGGTAAATTTTACCATGGATATAGGGTATATTTTACCGTGGATATACGGTAATTTCTACCGTGGATATAAGGTAAGCAGTTGGGTACGTTGGGCCCATTTTTTTACCGTGGATAAAAGGTAATTCTTACCGTGGATATAAGGTAAATCAGCGGTGTGCATCGGGCCCATTTTTTACCGTGGATATAGGGAAGATTTTCACCGTGGATATAAAGTAATTTTTTTTTACCGTGCATATAAGGTGAGTGAATGGCGTGCAGTATTTCCACTTTTTACCGTGGATACAAGGGAGATTTTACCGTGGATCTATGGTGATGTTTACCGTGTATATAAGGGAGATCAGTGGTAAGTATCGCGTAGGGAAATTATCTCGCGCATCTAGTTGTATTATGGGTTTGAGCCTTTAAAATTTCAAAGATCAGTGGGGTGACGACGAGGGTTAAACGAGAGACGAATAAAGTCATCAAAAGAGCCAAAGAAAGGAGACGAGTGGAGTGACTACGTGGGGCAACAGAGGAGAGGAGGGAGTATTCAAAAAGGTCAAACATGTTAACACATGCCAATTGGGTTTTTTCCCGGTGTGTTTTTCTAAATTCGTTTTCACTGTTCTTGTCTTTACCTTGGATTTTCTGCCTGATACCAGGAACGTTTTTACTGTGGGGATGAGGATTGTCCTCTTTCGTTTAAATGTGGACAGAAATGTCGTTAGAAAAAAATAAAATTATGGAATAATAAGAATGTTCATATCATTTATTAGAAATAACTCTCATCAATAATGAAAGGAAAGTATCTAGAAATATGTAATAAAGAAAAAAAGGTTAAGTGCCGTCGAGTTTACTGAATCTCGAGTGGAACATTCCTTCATGTTCTGGCTGAACATTCGCTGCAATACCATTTGCCTGCTGGGGAATTTTTCATGCCCACACACATCAAATGATGCCACTTCAAGCAGCCATCACACATAAGGACACTAGGACACAAAGGATGTGATCTATGAGCACATACGAAGCACTTGAAATCATCTGCGTTGCGTTTTTTGGTAAGATGATGTGAAAATTGCTTTTGGGCATCATGTTCCATGAGTTTCATCAACAGCTTAAGATCGTCAGGGGGGGTGTCGATGAATGAATTGTCGAGGTGGGTGTAATCAACTTCATCCGTTCGAATTGTTGAAGCCTCGAAATTACGGTGCTCATCGTACTTGCCCAGCAACCACGTTACCAACATCTGTGTTTTAGTCTCAGTATTCCTAGATGTAAAAGCTATTCCTCGTTTCCTACGGTTTTGCTGATTCTTTTGAATCCCTCCAGGCTTCTTAATAGGTAAACCGATCGTTGTTGTTTTCCGACCTTTTGGTGCTCCTCTTGGGTTCCCCGGTTTCTGAATTTTTCCCAGTTTTGCCACTTCATCGAGCGCATCCACTCTCTGAGTTCCAAGCTCGGAGTCTGAAGCATTGATTGGGAATACAGTGAGTGACGGCTCTGATAGAGACTCTTGGTTTTGCAGATTGTTGGACTTTGTTTGGGCATTATCAGAGTTTGAAGAACTGGGCTCTGCCTGATTCGACTGTGGATTCTGTTTTTCTCCACTCTTTTCGATGGGACATTCTTCTTCTGAGTGTACTTGATGAATCTGGGGTTCCCGGGTAGGATGATCCACTCTCTTAACTCCCAGCTCGGATTCTGAAGCTTTGGTTGGGGGTGCAGTGAGTGATGGATCTGATGGAGACTCGGGGTGTTGCAGATTGTTGGACTTTATTTTGGCATTATTAGAATTTGGAGAACTGGGCTCTGACTGATTCGACTCTGGATTCTGTTTTTCTCCATCCAAGTCGATGGGACGTTCTTTTCTTGAGTGTACTTGATGAATCCGGGTTTTCTGGGTAGAATGATCGACTTGGCTTAAATCGACTTCAATTGGGGAGAGATACCGAGGTCTCTTTTTGCTTCTCTCAATGGGAACATCAGATTTCTAGAGAGATATAAATAATGATTTCCTGTATTGGAAGGGGGGGGGGATTGGAGGGGGAAAGTGGATTACTCACTCTGATGGCTGGTTGCGTGGAAAGAGCAGTCTCTGTTGCATCGGTTTTGGGATTTTCCTTGGTGGGCTGATCATCACTCCCGAATACTACTTCTGCGTTGATTATATCGTGGAATTCCTGAAGAAGGGGTAAAGATTAGGCTGAATTAGATTAGTACGGTGGAAAAACACAAATTTTTAACACATTTTGCTTCCTGTTTACCTTCCCTACTGTATTCATAGACACATCAACGATACCTTCCCCATTTGCGACCTTCTCGTATGTGGTTCCACTCATATCACGAACAGTCATATCCAGCAAAAGTTGCTGATCTTCCATATCCTCATTTTGACTTTCTGGGTCTCCCTGGAGATATCAAGTATAGTTGATTACAGTTCTTCGTCCACTGATAGTAAGATCACCGACATTTTTTTATTACTTGATGATAATAGCTCACCATTCCCATCGAAAAAACGAAGGAAAAAACATTGAACTAGGTAGTTAAAGTGTATTGTCTGGAGGGAATTATAGCAGTTATTTTCAAACATTGAAATACTTATTTTAAAAAATTAACAAAAAAAATGATTGCATTCACTAATAAATTCTATCGAATTCCATCTCGAATTTGATAGGAATCTGTTAGTTTTTGATCGTCTTTTCGTTGACAAACTTCATCTTGCCCGTCCTCCCTAAAATTATTAATTTGTCAATCCAATTCAATATTTAACCAAGTGTCAACTGTCAACAGATTGTGTGCAGTTATTTTCATAATGAGCGATTTTAAGGACAAATTTTTGGAAAAATCTTTCGCCGGAAATATGTCTAGATACAAGAAGTTTTTTTTTATTTAAAGCATTCAAAGATACAAGAAGTCTCTTGAAAGTTATCCTCATATCAAGATGAATCAACAATCAGCAGGAATGACGAATTGGGCTATACGTTGTATGTCAACAGTCGGCATCTAATAAATAAGAGCGGATAAGGCAAAATGAACTTTTTCGACTTTTTTCAAGAGTTGATAGGTGCCAAAAGCTGGCAAGGCCACAACGGAAACACCGACTTTGGTATATTACAATAGAATTAGGGAGTTTTTCCCTAATTTTTTATGATAATTTTTAATTTGTTTTTTTTTGTTTTTTCAAGGCCTTGCCAGATTTTTTTCACGCTAGCAAGGCCACCAATAAAAACGCATTATTTCATTTTTTCTCCAAATTTGAAGGTTTTGCTGATGTTGGGATGTATCCGTGGAATTTGCAAAACCCCAAAAAATTAAAAATTACGATAATTAATAATTTCGCGTGCCTTCGGCCAAAAGGCCGTATCAACATTTTTTTGAATCCGTGAAATTTGAACCAAAAGGTCGTATAAATCCTATCTCGGGGAATAGGAAATCTCGACGTTTCAGATGAGTCTTAATCATTTGAACATTACTTTACGAGACCTTTTTTACGTCAATTTCGCCTTTAAAAAAAGGACGGAGAAAATTTTCCTTTTTTCAGGAAATTCGAACTAAAAAGTCGTATCAACCTTTTTTCGGGGAGTAATAGGAAATCTCGACGTTTGACATCTCAGCCCATATTTTCGAAAATAAATTTTTGATTTTTTTACAAGGAATTGAATTTTTTTTTGAAAATTCAGGCCAAAAGGTCGTATAAACACACTTTCCCAGGGAATATGAAATCTCCACGTTTTGGTTGATTCCGAGTCATCTGAGTCCAATTTTACAACCCAAATTTTTTTATCTTTTTACGCGTGAATTGATAAGTTTTGAAATTTATGTCAAACGGTCGTACACACTTTCCCACGGGATATGAAATCTCTATGTTTCAGGTGATTCTGAGTCATCTAAGCCGATGTTTTTTAAACCAAATTTTTTATTTTTGCTTCCGAATGGAAGCTTTGTAATCGCAATTTTTTTCGATTCTCTAATTTTGCTTGGATATGACTCAGGGTGATCTGAAACGTCGACATTTGATATTTTTAGCAAATGTATGTATGTATGTGTGTGCGTGTGTGTGTGTGTGCATGCGCATTTGTCCACAAAGTCATCAATAACTCTGAAACTGTCTTTACGAAAAATCTGAAATTTTGGCTCATAATAGGTCCTAATGGGAGACAGACATGTGCAAAATCTCAGCCTGATCGACTAGGTGGTTCCTGAGATATAGCATTTTCTCAAAAATGGTTTTTCACGAATATCTCATCAACGGCTTTATCAATTAAAATTTTTTTTATCCGAAAATCTTTGTTTTGATAATACCTATCTTTTTGTATCAAAACCTAATGAATCCACTACGGAGAATGGGTTTTTTTTCTTATTTTTCACTTTTTTCAAAAAATCGCTGGTATCCACGATAACTCAAAAAATAATTGAGATAAAAACTTCAAACTTTGTATGATTATAGCGCCGTTGGTAACGAAGGCTGGTATTGTCGGTGGGCGAAATCGGCCCAGTAGTTCATGAGATATTTAACTTTATAATCGAAAATTCTTCCTTTAATATCTCAAAAACTACTGGACCAAATGCATTCTGCTTGCTCTCAAAATTTTCGTCTGAGTGGTGGCTATCGATGCAAATCAAAATATAGGTACCATTCAATTGAAAGTTTTCGAGATATTTCAATTTTTCTCTTTTTTTGAGATCAGATTCCTATTTTCGACT